TGGATCTGGCTGCCACGATCTGGACCTCACCGGGCTGAGACCCCGGAGAGCCCCAGTACGGTGCCAGGATGCACGGCCTGACTCCCTGCTTCCCATGGCTCAGGCGGGGCTGGCGGCTCGAGGGTTAAAAGGCGACTGCCACCCCCATTCTCTTGGGGGAGAAAGTGCCTTTTCTCCAAGTCCATATGGCCACTTCCTTTCGACCTGCTCGGCCCTGCTCGCCTCTTTGTCCGAGCTGTCACTTATAAAGAATCACTTGACTTACAATAACAGGTTCAAAAGACGACAGAGTATAATCAGTTGATCCACGAAGAATTGAAATAAAGAACACCCCACTGCTCCAGCTATCATTCCCATAGAGATAGTGATATCATTGATGTGATTGCGATGCTAATTTCTATACAAGAGGAAAAAAAACCCTTGTATTTTGGAATTTGTTCAAAGAGAATTTCAGACACATCAGATTGGAAAATGCAGATTGAATTCCTAAACTTTTTTGGGGTAGGCAGGGGCTTTTATAAAAAAAAACCACCACTGCAGAGATATGAGAGATAAGAGTGGACTTCAAGAATCTCATAGGACTAGCCTGTTGGCGGAACTCCGATTCTCCTGGTCCCCAAAGTCCTGGAGAGAGAGAGTGAGAGAGAGAGGAGGATGTGCTGGGTTCTCAAGGCAGAGTCCAAGGGCCGTGCAGCACAGACCAGGCTGGGTGCCCACCCACGGAGCCCCTGTCTGGAGGGATCACCCGCAGTGAGGTGCAATGGCCAGGTGCCCTGGGAGGCTGGGTCTCTGCCTGTTATCTGAGATCCCAGTTCTTGCCTACTGCCAGGTTGGTCTTCCAGTGTGAAGTTTTCTGCATCTCCCTCACTGTTGGACAGGTTATTTGCAACCAAGTGGTCCCTCCTCTAGGAGGGGGTCGGTGATGGGGAGGCTGTATTGTGCTTTTTCTGTATTTTTGCTTTTTATGTATTGTGGTGCCCTGGTTTAAACCCTCCGGTCACCTAAGGGAAACTCAGTCTGGGCAGGCTGGAACAAGTCTTACCTGAATCAATGTTTTAAGTGTCCCTGTGGCTTGACGTTTTGAATAATCAATCAGTCTCCATCATTTCTTAATCATGCACAACACAGGCCTCTCTTCAGTCTCTCTCTCCTCCCCCCTCCTTCTCTCTCTCTTTTCCCCTCTCTCTCCCTCCCTTTCTCCTTCTTTGTCAACTCTTTTGGATCCTGTGTTTCTGCTATTAACATGCCCCAATGTCACATGCGAGCCTTTTCTTTAAAACAAGCTCCTCATTGGTGTATCTGGATACTTCTTTTATTATTATTACTGAATCTTTTTTTTCCCCATAATGACACCAGGATCATTATATAATCCCATAACAAAGAGGCTTTTGAGGCACCAGCTTTTGTCAACTCTAGGACAGAGAATCCATAATTGCATTATTCAGCTTTTTCCCCCCTTCTTCCCCCTCTTCCTTGCTTCACAGAAACCCAACCTCAAGCATCACTCACATCTCTACCTTGTTACCTCGCCTTATACTATTTACCAAAGCGTTTGCCTTGAGGACCAGCATTTGCAAAGTTGCCTTAAAAAAGTTATTTTGTTTGATAATTAAGTCCTGGAGCCCACCGCGTGATGATTATTCTGGACCCATAAGGCAGAGAACCTGCGTGACGTTTTTCTCGAAGTTTAATTACCGTATGCTAATTTCCTTGCCTACTACGTGATTAATTAAAATCATATTTTCATAATCATTTGGCACTAGTATTGTTTTAGAATTATCATGATCTCCTAAATAGTGTCTGTAAATAAAGTCGCCTCTAATGGCAGGCGCGGGAGGCGAGGCTGACGACCTCTTCGTGTTTGTATCGCGGCGATTGGCAACATAACTGCCTTATTTACATTAAATACGCCACAAGGTTACAGCGCGGATCAACGTCATTTGATCGCTGATGACTCCCTTAAACGCCCGGGCTGTGACTGATTCTCCGCGTCCCGCTGTCCACCGAGATTCACCCGGGAGTTTTTTTTTTTTTTCCCCCAGAAAAGAAACAGACTTTAAATAGTTTCAGGAGCAGGTAAGAATTACGCTTTTTCGTCTCCCCCTTTCCGTCTCTCTCTCCTCTCCCTCCGTGGCAATCTCTCTCTCCCTCTCGGCTGGATAAAAAATTCTTTAGTCAAAGGCAGGAATGCAAAGTAGTGACAAGCGAAGGGGCTGATATATGTCTCAGTAACGAGTCTGACAATCAGAATGTAGCTCTTGGAGAATAGATAGATTTTAATAAGTGTGTTTACATGAGCTCAAGGTCAGAAGCAAGCTGCGCTGTGTTAAATGGTTTCTTAGTTGCTAGACAGAGAGAAAAAATGGACGATCACACACCATTCTTTGTAGATTATTATATCAAGGGTTCAGTCTCTGGCTCATCAAAGCTAAATGCCGCAAGACCTATCTAGTTGCTGTGAATTATGCCAGGGCGACAATGGAGAGCGTTTTTAATGGTACAATGCATTTCACCTACCAGATAGGGGGAGGCCGAGCCGGGGATGGGGATGTCTGCTGGGGCTGGGTGATGAGTATCAATGAACGGGGCGATTCTGAAAAGAGGCAGACGAAAATCGAGCCCGCCCTGCCCCGGCTGGGCTGGGAACAGTTCGCAGGGCTCTGCCGAGTGGGCGAGCGAGGCGCGCGAGCAGGGCGCCCGTCCCCCCTCAGCCCCGGAAAATGATCAAGTCAATCATGTGGACATGTTTCATTATTCATTGAACACAATCTTTTACAACGCTCCGTTTACGTGCCCGAGTTTGCTCCCGACACCCGCGTTTCAGTGTTTAAGGTAAGGAAAACAAAGGTGGGGGGGGTCTCGGGGCGCGGCGAAAATCAAAGTTAGCCGATGCTTACAGCGCCAAGGGCCGCTGAGACCTGCCATTTTGTGTTTTCATTGGCCTCTTGTACCCGGGGAGTCGGGCGAGGCCAAGGCCGGGGCTCGGTAGGGCCGGGGTGTCAGGGTCCGAACTTGCGACCCCAGGAAAGGCCGTGGCGCCTGCCCGCGCAGGTGGTGCCCGCAGCACCTGCCCCAGCCTAGCCCAGGCCCTGGGGGCCAATCCCGGGGCCAAAGATAAAAATAAAGAAATAAGTAACAGGTTATGGAGGGAACTGAGCCGGCCAGCCCGGGGCTGGAGAAATGAGGCCAATCAGAGTGAGAGAGTACGGACGTGGGGGCTTGGGAAGGCGGGGAGACGGAGGGTTGGGGGCGTCTGGGAAGAGCGCAATTTGGGGGAACGGAATCCCCAGGCCAGATGTATGACTGGGAGGAAAATGATCTTTGCTGATAAACCTTTCTGTTTTGCTTCAAGACATTTTTTGAAGATGAAGAATTGAGGAAAACAGTCGTAGGCGGGACCAGGATGTATTTTAGGCAAAAAATAAAAAAAAAAGGGGGGGGGGGAGCTTTTCTTTGATGATGAGTAGGAAAGTGTCCAGATCTCGACGCGCCCATCTGTTGCAGTTTTGCAAATAATTTAAAATATAGATATCTGTATATAGATGGATGTGTGTGAAGTGGAAGGTGGAAACGCAGGCGCTGGGAAGTTAGGAAAAAGAAAGAAAAGGGGATTGGGGGCAGAGATCTGTCCCCAGCCTACTCTTCTGAGAAAACTCCTGCAGGGCTTTCTTTGGGGACAGGTGGAAAGTTGTCTCCCCTCCTTTTCCCACTTCTGTATTGTGAACGTCCCTATGTCCGCCTCTCGGCGAACGTGCACACAACCCTCGAGTTAGGTGGAAGGTCGGACGATCGGTTGGGGGTGGGTTGGGGACCGCGCAGGCCTGAGCACAGAGCGGGGGCGAGGAGGGGCAGGGCGGGGTCCCAGCCCCGCGCGCCGGTCGCAGCCAAGGCTGGGTTTTGTTTGCCGGATATTGTTATGTCTAACGAGTGCCTCACAGGAGACGTGATTTGTCAGCCGCCTTCGTTTTCACTTTAGCAGAAAATACGGCGGCTGCGCGGCGTCCTGGCCTGCGGGTCGGGGAGCCCGCGGGCGCCGGTGGGCGCGCAAGAGTGCGTGCGGGTGGGAGCGGGCGGCCGGCCGGTCGTTGGTAGGGGCAGTGGGCCGGGCGGGGTGAGTGCGCGCGCGGTGCCGGCCTCGGCTGCTCCTGCGCCTTCTCCCGGCAGCCGCCGCCGCCGCTGTGCAGTTTAGCAGAAAACCGACAGGGGCCGCGTTTGCTGAGCGCATCCGGCCGCCGGGCAGCCGGAGCGGGCCGCGGGGCCGGGCTGGCCGGTGTAGACTCAGGGAGGGGGTTGGGGGGAGGGCAGGCGGGGAGGGGCGCGAGGAGCAGGCTGGGCCCGAGTGCTCTCCACCGCAGTGTCCGTTGTCCCCGGTGTCCCGGGCGCGTTGGGCAGCCCCTGGAGCCCTGGCCTTGCGCCCCCCGCCCCCAACCAGGGCTTAGGTGAACTTGGGGTGGGGTGAGCGTGCGTGCGTGCGTGTGTGTGTATGGGGCGGGGGGGAGGTGAGAGTGGGAACGCACTGTTTTCTTTTCCAGTTTGATATTAGCAACTGGATTTTTACTTTGAGACCGGCTTTGCTCACTGCTGGGGTTGGGAGGGGGCGATCTTTTCCCATCACTCACATCTTTGTTCATTGTTCACTGAGTGGAAGGCAGGCGACTTAAAGAGACGAAAGAGGAAAAAGAGGGGGAGCAAGAAGAGGGAAGGAAGAGAGGCGCGGGGAGAGCGTCTCCGCCCCCGCCCGGGTCGGGTTGGACGGTGAAACAGTAAACCCGCGCACGGAGGGTCGCCGGGAAAGTGGACATTACCGCTTTAATTAACTTCGAGATGCTCCGGCGGCGGGACCTGGCGTAGCCGTGACGCGCCCCCATAAATCTGCCCGGCCCGGGGCTGCTCCGAGAACTCGTACGGTAGCGGCGTCAGACTCGACGCGCGCCTCCCAGTCCGGAGCCTATTTGCATAATTGGATCTTTTTTTTTTTTCCTTTCTTTTTTTTCCTTTCCCCTCATTCTCCCTCCCTGAAACTTGTTTGAAAACCCAAGTGAAAACTGCGACGACCTGCACGCTCAAAAGCGAGTGCCAAGTAAGTGCCCTGCCGTGGCCTCGGTGCGCCCCGAGGTTAGCGCGCAAAGCAGGCGAGCGAGGTGCCCCGGCGGAGGGCTGCTCGCTGGCGGGAGGACTGCAGCCGCCGGCTCCGGCGCTCCCGGCTAGCAGCTTGCACAACTTTTCACCCCTCTGTCTCCCGAGTTTTCCGGTCAGGTGAGGTGTTTGGGCCAGGCGTGTACCTGTAGCGAGAATCGGGAGGCGATCACTGGGACGCGGTGGAGTTGGGCATCTCGGGTCCGGGCGGGTAGTCGGTCCCCGCCGCCGTGGAGGGTAGAGCTGCGAGCCAAAGAGCGAGCCGGGCCGCTGCTAGTCGCGCCGCGCCGCGTCTGCAGCTCGTCGCCAAATGCCTCCCCCATTATTCTAAGGTTTGTGTCTCTGACTCTGTGTGTGTGTGTGTGTGTGTATGCGTGTGTGTGTGTGTGTGTGTGTGTGTGTGTGTGTGATCGGCTGTGCTTTAAAAAGAAAGAAAAGCAGGCGCAAGAGCAAGAAGGGCTTCTTCCTTAGCTCCTTCCCTGCCCCCCCACCAATTTCTCCAGCATCATTTATTTCTAGTGCTCGAAGGAGAGTGTGCAGGGCTTCTTTACTAAAGACCGTCACCGAGAGACTGACAATTCTGTTGGAAATGCCATAAATTCTATAGCCAAAATGTAGCTACATTCATAAAATATCAACCGTGGCCTGTCCAGATAAGTGATTTTATAATATCTCAAATTTTATTAAAAACACAATAGTGTGTTATTTATTTACAGTGCTCAGAACCTGGGGAAAAGTAGATTTTCTTGGGCGAAAACTGTAACCCTAGTTTCTGTTTGCTAGGAAATTTGCTGGCAGCTCAGCCCACCAGCCTGACGGGAAGGGGCAGGGGACTCAGCTTTGGCCTGGGGAGATGCAGGCGGGTAGCAGGCAACCCTCCGGCCTCTGCTTAGGGAGAGCCTAAGGCTTCTGGCTGAAGGCTGCTTTAGTTATGATGTCATTCTGATAGCAGAGTGCAAATGTCTCCTGATTCCACCATTAACCGCCTGGCTGATTTGCTTGGTAATGATAGCACTGCCGTCCAGCGCTTTGACAAATGCAGGCCCGCAGAGCCCTAGGAATTAACTTTTCCCCCCACTGAGGAAGAAGCAAGCTGCCAGAAGTCTCACTACTGGGTCCCTGACTTGCACTTTGTAGTGCCTGAGCCCAGACACTAACAAGGATGGCAGGCCCCTAGATTGAGGGACCCCTGTTTTCCCAAAGTTTGGAAAACTTTTAGAAGGCTTCAATCTACAGAATACCCTTAAGCTGGTAACACTTGATTTGGGTTGTGACCAGGCAGAGACATTTTTTTGATCTGATGGATGGCTGGGACCCCAGGTCTCTCTGGGGCCATTGCATAGAAGACGGGATTGTGACATCTGCTTCCTACCTTCAGTCCCTTAACTGTGACTTTATGTTAATATCACTGCAAGTAAACCGGATTTAGTGTGGCTTCTTAAATAGTGTACAATGATTTAAGATTTCTTTTGATTTACTGTTCAAATGAAATTTGCATAAATGTGATGAAAATGAACTTAACATCTGGGCATATGAAAAAAGGTTAGTACCTCATATGTCATCTGCAGAGAAAGTCTCTAAAATGCTTTCACCCTAAACTGGGTTCGGGGAAACAGTTCCTGGAGACATAAATGGTAATTATGGAAAACCTGGAGAAAGCGCTTTCAATAAATTTGCATTCTCTTGGACCACTGCTCTGAAAACCCATCTTGTTCTATGCCTGGAGTGCTTAACTTCTGAGCAAGCTTGAGATCTCACAACTCAGCAAGTTAACTGCTGGCTGGGGCTGTCTTCACGGAAGACATAGGGCAGGATAGGGAGAGACAGTCACGCTGCTCTGGTCCAAGCCGGAGGCCAGTAACCCGCATTATGAGAGAGGGCAGGGAGGTGGCCAGGATGTGCAGCCCTACTAACCACAGTTGCCCATTGGGTACTGAAGGCAGTGCTGAGATGTGGAATCATTCATTGCCTACTGAGCCCCAAAAAGCTGACAGATTAGGTTGTCTACTCTGCCTTAGGTAACCAAAGAAATTTCCACCAGATCAGACCTATAAAATTTAAGAGCCCGTTCAAATGAACTCTGAACTTCACCTTTCTGAGCAAGAGAAACTTATCTCTGGCATAAGGGAATCAGAGTTAAACAGCTTTTCCCAAACATGGTTGCCTTTTGCTCAAAAGTTGGCTGTGAATGGCACAGGTGTTTTTAAAGTGCCTTGAATGGAAGGGGAAAAAAAGACAGCAATGATGCTCATGAGAATATAGATGAACTTATTTTTTTTTAAAGAAGAGGATCATAAAAGAAGAAAGCAAATAGATTTATTTTTCCAGTTTGAATGAGGACAATTATAGCTTTTTAACGTCTTTGGATTTAGTGTTTTTAATAAGCCTTTTAAGTAAGCTGAAATATCAGCTTGCATTTTGTTCTCAGCATTATTTAAAGTGAGACTTGACGCAAGTTTAAAAACAGAAGTGAGCTTTTTGTAGGTCAGCTTTTGTCCATGCTGAGGTTGGGAGCTCCGCACAACACCTCTGCCAGGACCCAGAGCAGGCGAGTGCTCAGCCACGCTTCACCCTGTCTCCAGGTGAGATAGAGTTGGGCTGGAAGGCTGCTGGCGGTCAGGTGACCTGATGCTATCTCCCAGATTGTGAAGGTTGGATTTTGGAGTCTAAAAGCAAGATGCAAGTTCACTGACATGGGAGAGACTCACATCTGCTAGTAGGGGCTTGTGAGCTGAGTAACTCAGTGGAACCATGCCTGTCGGGCACACCGGCCCGCCCCCTCCAGGACATGCCATTGCGGGACAGCCGAGATCCTGCTGGGAAAGGAGCTGTCCCGGGCAAGGTGGGGGTGGAGGGTCTGACTGGTGTGGCTCATTGTGTAGTTTACCTGGTCTTGTGGTTCCTGTTTGGGAGTTGTTGAGAGAGAGGCCTTTTGTCAAGGAGAGGGCTGTTTGCTCAGGTCTGGGCTGTCTGGGCCACCCTTGGTAGCATTGAGTGCCATAGAGGGTCAGAGCCAAGCTAAGTTAGGGAGTCCTATGTGCAGTCAACTGGGCTAAGCCAGAGAGTGGCCCACCAGGATCTCAATTGTGGTGATGCTGGGGGGTGTGTGTGTGTGTACACGTGTGCTGGAGAGGGTGTTCTTGCTAGAAACACCTGTTATGAGATGATTTCCTATTTATTCACAGTGTATTACCCAGGGTAGATTAGTGAGTTTATCAGTGTCTGTGCACAGTGGAAGGATTGGGGCTAAAAGAGCTGAAGGAATCACAAAGTGGAGGGGGACATGTGTGATCAGAAGATGGACCCTAAAGAATGCAGGCCCCCTTTCCTACATCATTGTGCAGAGAGCAGGGCTGGTTTTAGTGGGCGCTCTTGGTTGCTAGAGAATGTTACCCCTGCAACTTTCACTATAAAAAATCATTATAGATCTTTGGTTTCTCTTATACTGGAGTTTTTGCTGCTACAGAGGGCATTGAGCACTTGGCTTTTCACAGCCTCTGAGCACGCTAGAGGTCAGGTTTATCTGCCCTAAGAGACCAGATCCAGGTGAGGCCTTTGGTGGAACTTGCCAGACTGGCCTGAACATTGTTTCTGTAGAGCAGGGTTTCTCAAGTGTGACCCTAAGGATGTTACCCACTTGTAGATTTGGTCCTGTGTTTCATAGGATGTTGAGCAGCATTCCTGACCTCTACCCACTAGACGCCAGTAGCTCTCCCCAGTTGTGACAATCAAACATGTCTCCAGACATCTGCACACATCCCCTGGGGGAAAATAAGGTTCACTTCCCACAGCTTCTGTGTGCCAGGCCCCATCCTGGGCGTCTCAAGGGGCACAGGGAAGTCTGAGGAGTGCACAGCCTGGTTGGGGATACCAGGGCCTGTACCACGTGGGGGCAGAGCTGGGGGTCTGAAAGGAAGGAGAATGTCAGTCCACAGTAGAGGAAGGCCTGGGCGAAGGGTATCTGGGGCTCGACTCTGACTGTTTGTATGTCAGTTACACCCTGAAAATGGCCCTGCCAGTAAGAGCTGTGTTTCTGGGCTCCCTGATTGTGACAGCCAAAGCAAGAAGTGGAAGGCAACAGATCTCAGACTCCGAGTTGAGGCTGGGCATCCTGCTGGCAGGATGATGATGGTGGCTTATTTCTGTGCATTCACTACATGGCAGTCATGGGTTCTAAGCACTCAGCTTGTTTAATCCTTACAGCCTATTATATTTGTCAACAAATTTCAGGAAGGGAAGCTCAAACACTGAGAGAGGGTAGTGGAGGATCCGGGATTAGAACCCATCCAACCTGCCTCTGGAGTTGTCACACTCAACCCCACTCCTGCCCAGAGCACCTCCCTTGACCCACTGCCAGCTGCCCTTCTGAGGGCACACTCACCACAGAACCCCTGGAATTCCATCATTGACCCAACAAGCTCATCCACACAGAGCCAGCAGCCCCTTTTAAGGGACACAGATCTCCAAGTGGGGCCTCTGGGTGGTAGTGGCAGGAAGGTTATGCAGATACATTAAGAGATGCAAGAAGGAAAATTAGTTTGTAGGATCTTCCTCCTCTACCTTCCTATTCTTCCTCCATAGCTTTACAATGAGAAAATTAAGTGCTATTTTGACACAGGAAAAATGATCACCGTAGGCTTGAGCTGACATTAACCTGAAAGTTTTCTATCAAGGCTTTGATCACCTGAGCTGTGTTTAGCTTTGATTACTGAGGTGGGCTTGTCTCTTGTGCTCCACCCCCACCCCTTGTTGTCTCTGCTAGTCCTTCAGCTCAGCCCCTTCACGATCTTTTAGCCTTTGGTTGGTTGGTTTGAGCACACAGTCAACCCGTATACATAGGCAGGATAAAGTAACCCTATTTAGGTTGTGAAAGCCAACCCACAGAGCCTCCAAAGTTGAGATTAATCACAGAAATGCCCATCCAGCCTTAATTACAATGACGTT